GTCTGTACGCAACTCAAACGCAATGGCTATTCGCAAAAGTGTGACAGGGCCCTTAGGGGTTGCATTTTCCGAAGCCAAGCGGGAGATCGCCAATTAAGCTTCGGTCACAACCCGCCGTACGTGCTTCTGCGTGCTGTCTACGTGCAAAAACGTGGGCAAACGCAGGGCATCCGTGCGTGGTGAGTACGGAATCCTACGGATTTGGGAGCACGCAGACACGCCGTAGAACTTTAAGTGCATGTAAAACTTTTTCTGCGTGCGGTCTACGGATTCATTACCCGTGCGTGCCCCGTACGTACCGTACAAAAGACGCACGTGTGAGTACGGCCTCCTTACGGTAAAGTTGCAATTGCACAGAGATCGTACGTTGTAAGCACGTACAACTACCTTACCACTTGCGCAACGTACGATGCACGCAACCGCTCACGGCCAGACGTGGCGTGCAGACCACAGTAAGAGTCTTACACCTTGCGAAACCGTGCGAGTGACGTGCGAGTGACGTGCGAGTGACGTGCGTCGATGCCACTCCTTCCCCACGTTTTCAGAAAAAAACGTAGCAGACGTAGCCTCCCCAAAAACGTACGGACAAAAAGCACGTACATTGTACGGCGGGTTGTGACCGAGGCTTTATGTACCAGAAACGTGTACCAGGGACATGTCCAGACATTCATGCTTCCAAATACATGTGGCTTCCCGATCTTATCTAGTCCTGTTTTTTGTTGTTGTTGTTTGAAAAAAAACCAGAAGCTTGGCACGTTGTGTTTGTTTCTTGGGGCTTCAGTTTAAAACACAGAAATATCGAACACCCGCTCGCGCTAGGGTGTAAACGTTACATTCAAGCAAAGGTCTCTGATTCTTCAAAATCATACTAAAATCATTTTAATCCTCAAAATCACTCCAAACTTGCTCCAAACAATGTGGCCGTTGCCCGGTCGCGGCATCGTAAATTTTCTAACAATAGCGGGGGCTGCTTGCGGCTGCATTGTATTTATGTAAATCAAGGGGTAATCGGCATATTATAGGTGTCAATTGTTTTTTCACACATGAGTCGAACGTTGCTGAATAGGGACTAATTCTGAGCCCAGTCCTGTGTATACAAGTAATGTCCGTGTGTAATGTCCTTGGTCTAATAAAGGCCCAGTGGACTGTCAGGGAGGGTATTGCCGGTGTTATCATGACATAGGTTACGGCGTATTTTAGATTTGTCGCTGGTTGATGTGGACTCCCGGTTTTGAAAAAAACCGTGTCCCCAACTCCCTCATAATAGAGTCCGGCAGCCGCACCCAAAAATACAGAAAAAACAGTCCGTAAACTACCCGGCAGGGCCCCTGTTTCAAGTTGTTATTGTATGGACCTGTTAATTGTCTGAGACTTGCTGCTTGAATATTGATGTTTTGTTCTCTTTCTCAGTATGGCCCTCTCTTCTTATGGCCCTCCCATATAAGGAAATAAACAGTAGAAAATTAAAACCTCCTCGTAAAAAAGGGTTCTTACTTCTGAAATATCATTAAAATTATTAAAGCCATTATATGACTGTGTTTCTTAGTTACGTACACTCTTCTGAATAATGCAATTGTACAAAGTGTAGAGAGACAAGCTGTGTTGCCGTGTTCATTTTGTAAAACCTTGTGTTGGCAAAATGGTCGTAACATTAAGCCTTCAAACATTTTAAACAGACTGTGGCTTAGCAAAGTGTTCGTTATGATGGGTTATCTGTCATGCAGTTTCTGGTCCGAGCGAACATTTTGCCAATAGTGCCACGTCATCAAATAAAACAATCATGGCGCAGAACGCGTTGAAGAGGGTTGACTCACAACATGAATATTACATAATCGTTTTAAGTCAGGGTGTTTTCACATATATAAAATACTGCAAGTATACTGGCAGCAAGTATGGTACCACCATTGTAAACTTTAACGTAAATTACGACCTGTGTAAAAGTACACACGCCGAAATTACGATCGTAAGCACAGCGTAATTTCGTTGGCCGGAGGGCCAGCCGGAAATATTAAAAACATCCAGTTTCAGCTACTGTGTTCACGGGATATTCACTAGGATTCCTGGAACAAATGAAGCAGGCAACGCATGCTAAACGTGATTAGACAGATTTTAAAAATAGATCGCAAGCCGATCTTTTGGTCTCTACGTAACAAATGTCAGTTACCATGACAGCCAAAAAATCCACCGATTCTTTTTCCGTTGGAAATATAACTCACCCCCGACCAAATGAAAATAAATTGTCCTCTGTATTTGAACAAAGATAATGACTTTTGAACGTAAAAACGCGTGCTCCGCCAGGCATTCGTCTAGAATATCGCGAAAGACCAGAAACATTTAACACAACTAACGTGTCGTCAAGACTAAGAATATATCATCCTTGCAATTGGTAACACAAGTGACTTTTTGGGCTACTTTTGTGTGGATACCGTGTTAGACATTTTGAACAGGCTGTGGCTTAGAGAAGTGTCATGATGGTGCCACGTCACCAAATAAAACAGTCATGGCGCAGCTCACCTGCTACCCTTGTTAGAAATAACCTTATCCCAATAGATATTAAATAGATGGACATTGTTAAAATTTTCCGACGTGCTGACTTCTCTGACAGCTATCTACCGAGTCGGACAGTCCAAAAGACCACAAATCTCCCACCGCCATCTCTACAATACATGGAGGATTAAAATCTAATTGCCAGCCTATCCTATGGGCGTAGGCTAGTGACAAACCGCCTACAAGAAATTTATCCTGAATTGTTTATCCACTCGCAGACACATACCTTTCAAGTTGGTCAGAGAAGCTTCAGTTTATCGGGCACAGGTTGCTATACTGTTCTTGTAGGGTGATCCGTCTTTGGGTGGCTGATCCGTAATGCCGTTTGACAAACAACCCAAGATTGGTCTTCGTATACGTAGTTACGTAAAATATGGAGTTGATTGTCTGAAGCTGGCTATTTGGATAACATTAATATATATGATTATGATGAAAGTTCTAATCATGATGCAGCTCCAGAGATGTATATTTACTTTTTTTCGTCACCAGGTTACAGATTACCAAACCGCTACTTTCAAAATGATGCGGATTGGTAACTTGTATATTTACCTTCTGGGTCACGTGACTGTCCTTGTCAGTAGCTGAAGAAAGATGGTGGGTGCCGTCTGAAAGCCTCTACGCATATGTAGACCTGACATGTTAGTATGTATTGTATATATGTTAATATTTGAATAAACCATTATTAGGCCACACCAATTTAATTTGTTGGTTCTCGGATTTTTTCAGAAAAAATATGAAGCGACAGGGCGAAAAAAAATAAAAATAAAAACAGGTCTAGGCATCCTATTATAGGCTTAAATGCTACAAAATGAGCCATGAAGTCAACACAAAAGGCTGGGTTAAAATTTAAACATTGAATTTTGAACTTTTAATCAAACCACTGCAATGATAGATGGGAAGACTGTAACAACTAGGAAGAAAAGGACTTTCCTCAACTGTTGGGGGGCAAAACATGAGCATTTTTCAGTTGATTCAGGACAAGAATACTAAATTTTTTTTTTTGCAAATAAGAAAAAAACGAAGAGGCGAATCCGAGAACCAACAAATTAAATTGGTGTGGCCTTATTATTATTATTATTCATGCGCTTTGACATTTGTAAGTCGTTTGTATCAGTTTAATCCTTCCTTTGTATTTTGTATATTTGATTGTTTTAAGCATGAACATTATATAAAGTGTTGGCTTCGTGGGGGGTCCGTGCGTCACGTTAGTGCACCTTTTGTGTTTGTGGCTTGTTAGCAAGATAACTCAAGTATTTGTAAAATGTTGATTATAATTCTTGGTGTGGTGCTTACTATTGTCGGGACCAAGGTTAAGTTCGTTACTGAGCTTCGTGGGGGGTTTCGTTGTGACTACAGGGGGCATTTTGTTAATTTTTCTTGTGAGCAGGATAACTTTTGTATGTATGGATGGAAGTTAATGAAATTTGATAGGCATATTACTGTCGTGGTCTCCAAGATTGAGTTCAAAGATGAGAGTCGTGGAGGTCGTTATGTCCCCGTAATAGGACCTTTTGTGTTTAGAAATCCCCCACCTACATCTGCTTGGAGACAGCTGGATATAGCGGGGAACCCCATAATGGGATGGGATCAAATGACGTTACATTGAGGGATTGTACTATAACTTCAGCAGGGGGAGGATAGGTTGGACATATGTCAGGTTATTTTCTACGGCCACACCAAGTAATTGCTATGGATGACGTCCACTGGAGACCTTAAATCTAATTACCTTAAATTTAAGGCAAGCGCGCAATAAAAACACGAAGGGCCGAAAAACGAGATGCCTAGATTTGGAATATACTAACTGTAGAAGTACAAATGTTACGACACAAAGAACACAAGTCTTCTATTTGTCATAAAGACAAATTAACAAAACAGCAGTAGTCACCCTGTTCTGATTCTTTCCTTTATAACATCTTCTCTTATTATATTTTGCGGCGCTGTCGTGACACTTTCAACACAGTAAGAATTTCTTGTAACGTTTTTTTTCCTAGTTAACAGTACAAACTCAAATAACGTAGGGGGGGGGGGGGGGGCGTAACACGGGTGACGACGCATCTGTATAATCTGCGGCAAACCGTTTCAGGGTGTTCTGTACCATAAAAATAGTACAGAGATTCTTTTGTTCTTTAGACCAAATTGATTATTAAAAAGATTGAAGAATACGCATGTTAATTTCTCTAGAACGATGTACCTCTGACGAAGACATGAGATCTCCGACCTCTAGTTTTGTAATGTTTTGTTGTTTACTATTTTCGAGGCCGTACGACTATGGTAAAGAACTTGTGCAGATGTCAGAGAAACAGCTATAGGGTCTAACCAGAAACTTTCCTGCAATAAGATGATGTACCAAATATTCCTGTTAAACCACACAGCTGTGTTTAGTGCACTGAATATCAATAATTTATGAAATGTCACAAGTTTTCTCGTAAATGGTGACGGCTTATTTCTGGATGATGACTGACGGAGAGGCGTACTGATTTGCAGCGTGTCAAAATCACTAAAGTTAAAACGTCACCATCTATGCACGGTGCACAAAATAGTCCGCCCTTGGTATCCTGGTGCGTTTCAAAGTGTATCTTGGTCTCAATAGGCAGTTGGAAGTTTTGTTTCGAGGGGCGGTGCTGAGATGATGCTTTTGATTGATGATTCAACAGATGCGCTCTTACCCAGGCCTTGAAAAACTGGTTAATGATTGGATATCTGTTGCGAATTGATTCGATTTAAAAAAAATAAATCGATTCATTTAGGAACATGAACGCTCGAAACCGGTTCCGTTGCGATTTATTTTGAACCACCTCGCGAGGTGGTAAAGGGCCTCTACATGTGCATGTTAATAAAGTAACATGTCTTTGTTTTACAGGCATGTGCAGGACCTGTGGAAGGCATCTGACAGTTTCTGGCAGCACCAGTGGGGTCTGGTGTATGACTTGTTTGGTGAAGATGAACGTTTGCTGGGAGCTCTTGGTGAGTGGAAGTAGCCAGTTACACATCTCAGGTGAACGATCCCTGCATAGCCAAAGTGTATAGTATAGAGTCAGGCCTAGCACAAACAAGACTCAGAAAAAGTTGTGTTTCTGCTTTCAGGTTAAAGTTTAAGGTTAACGGGTTACTGTTAATGGTTGGGTTATTTGTTAGGTTATGATTAACAGGTTGTTGCTTCTGCTGCAGGTACATTTTTGGTTCCCACGTTGGTGTTCTGGTTAGTAAACGGTTCCCTTCTGGTTGTGGATGTGACCGGCCGCCCTGCCGCCCTGCTCAGATACAAAATACAGGAGGAAAAGAACGTTCCGGTTAGCTGTTTCACTGGCTTCACTAAAGCGACAGTTAGGCAATAGTTTCCGCCGTCTTGTCCAGGTTTCATGAGAAGTTTTAGTAAAATCCTATTTACATAAAGTTTTTTTTCTTTACAGGTGGACCCTGTAAAGCTGTGGAAAACCATTAAGTTGGTTCTATTCAACCAGTTTATTGTGACTGGTCCGATCGTCTTCATAACTGCACCGCCCATCCTCCACTGGCGCGGAATGCCGTGTGGGCGGGAGCTCCCATGGTTCCACTGGGTCGTGGTGGAGCTGATTGTCTTTGTGCTGGTGCTGGAAGTCATGTTCTACTATTCTCACAGGTCAGATCTAGACCCACTCCTCATTTTAGGTGCCATCCTCCTCCCACTCTACTACTTACACTCCCTAAGAAGCCCACTCTTGACAAACAGGTAGCGTCCACCTCTTACTCCACTAGTCACAGGTCAGGCCTACTTCTATTACAAATTAAAGGTAACATCTACCTCCTACCATACAACTATAACTTTCACAGATCAATCCAGCTGCTCCTCACCAACTAGAAGATTATGTACTGAGTATGATTATACCTGTGACATGTTGTTTCCCCCCAGGCTCCTGCACCAGCCTGCTCTGTACAAGAGAATTCACAAGAAGCACCATGAGTGGACGGCCCCCATTGGGATTGCGGCTGTGTACTCCCATCCTGTGGAGAACATCCTGTCCAACCTACTTCCTGTAGCTGCAGGTAAGAACAGATCGTAGACCTTTCTCTCCACATGCTCACCTGTACTGACCTAAACCTATGCTCACCTGAGTGCTAAAGTTTGCTGTACTGTTTGTTGCTCCTTTTCATGTAACCGGTTTGCTGTACCGTACAGATGTGCCTTTTTGTTTTACCCTGTTTGTTGTACATGTACCGGGTTCCAGGTCCCATCCTGATGGGGTCCCATTTGGTGACCGTCTGGCTGTGGTTCTGCCTATCTCTCACCGCCACGTCCATCTCACACAGCGGCTACCACTTCCCCCGGCTGCCCTCCCCAGAGGCACACAACTTCCACCATGTCAAGTAGGCTTGGTTATTTCCAGTACTGTCAAACTTGTGTAAAAACAAACACAGTGCTAATTTTGGTGTGATGTTGTTCCACAGGATTAGCCAGTGCTACAGTGTGATGTTGTTCCACAGGTTTAACTAGTGCTACGGTGTGATGTTGTTGATCCACATGTTTAACCAGTGATACGATGTGATGTTGTTCCACAGGTCTAACCAGTGCTACGGTGTGATGTTGTTCCACAGGTTTAACTAGTGCTACAGTAATGTTGTTGATCCACAGGTTTAACCAGTGATACGATGTGATGTTGTTCCACAGGTTTAACCAGTGCTACGGTGTGATGTTGTTGATCCACAGGTTTAACCATTGTCTGTGATACGATGTGATGTTGTTCCACAGGTTTAACCAGTGCTACGGTGTGATGGGGGTTCTGGACCGTCTCCATGGGACAGACGAACAGTTCCGCCACAGCAAGGCGTACGATCGCCACATCGTGCTGCTGGGTCTGACTCCGCTATCCTGGTCCATCCCAGACAAACCCAAGGCGAGCAAGGAGACCCTGGCCTGTCACAAGACGTCTTGCCAAATGTCTAGCCATGGCCCCATGTCATGTGGTCAGACTCAAGACAATAACCAAGTGCCAATGGGGAAGACAGAGTAATTCACTAAGGAATCTTTAAGTTACAACAAGATACACTTGCATGTTCCAGTGCACAGTTTTAACTTTGAGCCAAGGAACTTGAACCAGTGTTAAACCTCTTCTACCTCCATGGTTAAACCAGTAGCATGTACCAGTATCCAACCTAGTAGCATGAAACTGTGTCCAACCTAGTAACATGTATCAGAGTCCAACCAGGTAATGTGAACCAGAGTACAACTTAGCAACATGAACCAGAATACAACTTAGTAATATGAACCGGAATACAACTTACTTTAAGTTAGTAACATGAACCACTGCCCCTACGGACCCTACGGGCTTAAAAAGGACTACGGGACTACCTTTTCCGTTACCTTTAACATGAACCAGAATACAACTTAGTAATATGAACCAGAATACAACTTAGTAACATGTACCAGTGCCCAACAAAGTAACATGTACCAACCAGTGTCCAACCTAGTAACATGTACCAGTGCCCAACCTAGTATCATGTACCAACCAGTGCCCAACCCAGTAACATGTACCAGTGTCCAAGCTAGTAACATGTACCAGTGTCCAAGCTAGTGACATGTACCAGTGTCCAAGCTAGTAACATGTACAAGTGTCCAAGCTAGTAACATGTACCAGTGTCCAAGCTAGTAACATGTACCAGTGTCCAAGCTAGTAACATGTACCAGTGTCCAAGCTAGTAACATGTACCAGTGTCCAAATAACCTATACCAGTTCCCAAGCTAGAGCCCAACCTAGTAACATCTACAAGTGCACAACCTAGTAAGTGCAAAACATAGTAACATGTACTATCTCGGTTGGGTTAAGGCAGCCTATGGCATACTATGAGTAGTATTTCATACATATGCCTGTAACTTTTGATAGCTTGGTCGCACCACAACTAAACTTCACACAGTTCTAGTAGTACTCGAACCACATTGAATAAAGGTTATTTTGTTTTTACTACTTCTGGATTTTTGGGTTAAAAATCAGCATTTTGGTTAAAAAAAAGCTGTTTACTTCATGGCTTAACGCGCAAGCGGTAACAACACCTTTCATCATGATATTTTACAAGTAGAAAGTCAACCCCCTATTATTATTTTTGTCCGAGGCCATTTTGTTTTAAATAACAGTTACATTGTTTTTTTGGGCCAAAAACGACAGAAACAGCTATTTTTCTGTCATTTTTCGTTAAAAAATCGCCACAGTTAAAAAACATCGACTTATATGCAAAATAGCCTCGGACAATTTTGATTAAAAAGTGATAATACGTAAACATGGATTACTCTAAAGATCAATTATGCTGTTTTCAGCTGCGCGTAAAGCCGTTTAAGTCATATTCCGTGAATAAAATGCGTAACAACGCGGGTTTACAGGGGAAACATACAAATGGCCGCCGGTAACCCCGAATTCGAACACGCGTTCTATTCAAATGACGTCATATCGAACATGGTGGAACATGATTCGGGTTCGAAACATGTTTGTGGCCATCGTGCAGACACACGCCCGAACTCGAACATGAATATCAGCCTAGGCCGCCTTAACCCAACCGAGTACAGGACAATTGTGAGAGTGCTAACTATGTACACCACGTTCTGGAGCTTGTTGTGAGTCCCTTAGTCAGCTGCAGTCAGAAACAAATCTCATGCAGAAGTGTTATACTTGAGTGTACCAGTCATAACATTATATCATTGGGTTATACTGCTTGGTTTTATCTGGAAATTGAACATTTTGAACTGCTAAATGCTTTTTGTGAACTCCAGTGCTTTTCCTTTGCAAGTACTTTTCTTTTTGTGCAGTAATATGTCCCAGTCTGTTATATATATACTGACTATATATATGTTATTTTTTTAACGGTGTTGCTCAATGCAAGGCCAATTGGCCACTTCTAGGCATAGAGCTAGAGTACAGGTATAGAACTGTAACAGCAACTCTTCTCCCTGAGTCAGAAACATCATGATTGAGACCAGCCCAATTTCTCACAAGTAGTGAGGACTAACTGACACAATATAGGAGATATGTACAGTATATGTTATATGTATGTATGGGACTGGTGCGGTGAGGTGGTATGTATGTATGATTATTGATAGTAATATATAACAAAGTTATATGATATGTATTTATGTAACATTTGGCTCTACTTTGCGCAGAATTGCTCTCCTGGTTTGCCAATAGATGTAACACAGGGGGGGATGATACTATCCCATCATCCTTTGCAATACACATCCCACAACACGTGTCCCATATGGCTGACTGTCAGCACCAGGCATATAGTCCTGTCATGTTTCCTTTAAAAGTGCAGCAATGGCAACAATTTGACCAGTAATTTTTGGTTCTTTGAATTATCAAAGGACTCAAGTAGTGTATGAGGCTATCTGACTTTTGTAACTTATGTACAGCTTCTTACATTGTGTCTTAAACATTTATGCAAACATTTGCTTCAAAAATGGTGCTCAAACTTCACCAATTACTAAAGTGTTTTTCTACAAACTCTGTTGATTGGGGATATTATACATCTTGTGCATCAGAAAACCCCAAATGCACCAAAAAGCACCCATGGGAAACGGAAGAAAATTGCATTTGTTGATGATTATTACATAAATAATATCAAATATAATATTTTTGTAACACTTCTGATGATGGAATATTTGTGCTGCTCCTGTTATTCCAAAAGTTTGTTTGATTTTCTGAAGCTCTCTCAGAAGGTATCTATTGATTTACCTCAATTTTTCAATTACCTGTCACATGTTTGAAAAACCTATTATGAAATGTAGCTACTTCACGGATAAGCAAATTGTGTCCTGATTTGCATAATAAGCATTTGTTTATTTCAATTATCACTTAATTGTTGATACTTTTTCACAGGTCGTAATTTACGTTAAAGTTTACAATCATGGTAGTCCTGTATTACTACCTGTATATTTGTAGTAGTTTACATATATTAAAATCACCCCGACTTGAAACGATTATGTCTCATTCAATATTCATTAGTCAAACCTCTTTCACCTGACCAACGCGACCGATTTTCTCAGGTCCCCTGAGTGGCAGGCTTGGTGAGCAGGTTTGTATGTAACTTAGTACTACACATGTAGCTTATTTGTTAAAAAAAACATGGTGTAGTTGTGGTTATAAAGAATGAGATCAGACGTGTTTTTTTTTGCCTGTCCCTGCACTCCCCGCTATCTATCTTGCTTTTTTTTTTCAAACTCAGGTGAAAATCGACACGTGCTAAAGTCATCCATATAATATACTTGCTGTACTTACCGTGTACGCTCCAAGCAGAGGTTTGGGTTTTGAGTTATTTTTGGTGTGTTTTTAGCCTTTTTTTATCGGGGTTTGTTTTTTGCACTGGAATATTTCTTTCACCCAACACGCCAAAAATAACTCAAACCACAAACCTCTGCTTGGAGAGTACTTACTGTGGCCTTGTACTGTGGCCCCTCTCACCTCAAAACTGTTTTTCCGAGTCAGCGAAGTGGAATAACTGCAGACCGATGTTATCACCAATCATCACTATCACTGATCATCACTAACCCAACAAGGTCACCACCCTCGCCTAAAGACCTTCCAACCCTGAGCAATTGTGCTACACGAGTTGTCTTAACGGCACACACGCCCATAGGAAAGGTCAGGTCGGCAGAAGGACAGTCACAGAAATAACGATCACGGCCGCTAAAGCAGGGTAAATAGTACAGAGACTTGTCTGAGAGATCTTTCAATCCAAAGAAGATTGCAAAGAAGTCTTCAGGTTCTGACACAGGCATCATGCAGGCCAGGTGAGGTTACGTACGTTTTCTGAAACGGCCACGGTTCATTTTTATCTCGCCATCAGTGACCTCGGTACAGCCAAATTTATCTCATCTTTTTTCTCGTTTCAACTCCCTATGTTTGTGCCTTCATGTTCTTTGTCAACATTCTTGGTTATTTCAATATTCATTGCTTACACTACAATACGAGGTATTATGTCATACCGGGCCGCTATTACGTTCGATATGGGTGTTCCGGACCGGGCCGTACTTCAAGGTCCGGCCCGGGGGTTCTTTACGCGTACGGCCCGGGCTTCCAAATGCCCTATAGAACGATTCGAACGAGTTTCGCCCTAACCGCTTGCACCGCTTTAAAAAATTGGAATACAAAGTTCGGACGTTGGAATTGATGTTGTTGCATTTTTGGGATTTATGGACTCCACATTTTCGCTCATTTCGCATTGAAAGGCGTTTTTCCTTGGAAGGGTAAATAAAATGGACCCCGCGGTCCCAGCTCTCCCGCAGTTCGGATCTCCCTTCGGCCTTCGAGCGATTCGACGCGCGGTCGGGGTGGTACCTCGGGCGATACGGAATACCCCGTGCTGTATTCTATATGTTCCGGTTCTGCTTGGAGACGGAATACCTAAGATACTGCCGGAAAGAAGTATTTCGTTCAAATCGCACGATACAAGTCAGCCACAAACACAGACTTGGAGGTCAGAGGTGACCGACGCGCCTGCTAACCGAACTGATAGGGTACAATATTTTATTCTACAGGATCTCATTTACCGGACTCGTTTACTTACCCGTTTTGATATTTTCAATATACCAGCATTCGAGGTATTTCCTGACGCTGTTTACGTACGTGTACCGGCCGTATGAAGCCTGAACACTCCCACTGGGGAATTGTGACATATTTCGTAACGTTAAGCCTGCACAATTCCAGACTAGTCACGAGTCTGATTTGTACGTACGATTTGAACGTATTTTTTCTTGCAGCTCCCAGCAAGTTCGTTGCCATTGTCAAACCTTGTAGTACCTAACTTTGTTATGGTTAATATTTAGAGGCCATACGACTATGGTAAAATTTGTGTAGCTGTCAGAGAAACAGCTGCAGGGTCTATCCGGAAACTCTCTGGAGCTCCTGCAATATGATTGAAATGTACCAAATATTCCTGTTAAACCACACAGCTGATGTGTTTTAGTGCACTGAATATCAATGACTTATAAAATGAAATTGTCCCTGTCACAAATTTTCTCGTAAATGGTGAAGGCTGATTTCTGCACGCTTGACTGAAGGAGAGGCGTACTGATTTGCAGCGTGTCGAAATCACGTAAAACATCGTCATCTATGCATTGTGTGCACAAAATAGTCCGCCCTTGGTACCCTGGTGCTTTACAAAGTTTATCTTGGTCTCAATAGGCAGTTCAAATGCTTCTTGAAAAAACTTGAAGTTTTGTTTTGAGGGGCGGTGCTGGGATGGTGCTTGTCATTGATGATTCACGAGAAGCCCCGGGCGCTCTCACCCAGGCCTTGAAAAACTGGTTAATTAAGGGTCAAAGTGCTACTCTCCAAGCAGAGGTTTAGGTTTTGGCTTTCTTTGGGCTTTTGCATGGGTATTTTTACGGAGTTGGGTTGGTGTAAAAAAAAATAACATTGCAAAAAAGAAAGCCCGATAAAACACGCCAAAAATATAAACCAAAAGGTACACCTCTGCTTGGCGAGTATCAAAGTGCTAGAGTACGACTAAAGTGCTGTCGTGTGCTGGTCGTGTGTAAGTAAAACATGTAATCTCCAAGCAGATGGGAGGCAGCCTAACAATTAACAGTTACAAAAGGTTTGCACCCTTATAGAGTTGGCGTAGGAGCGCATTCAAAAAACATTGAAGAACGAATGTGCGTAAAGTCCGTGGAAGAGTTATCAAACACATTCACAAGGAAATTTCGCCACATTGGGATTAAGTGCGCGTAAGCCGTTGGTATCTGAAGGCTTGGCGTTTCAACGTTTGTCCGACTTTCTTCTTAATTTTTGATCTAATCGATTTATTTAATTTTACTCTCCTATTGCGTCTGATCTACATTATCATTGGAAGAGGAACTGATATTAGCAATATCAGCAACGCTTTGTTGAATACCATATGCAACGTAGTTTGCGCTGCATCATAATATAATCTCGAAGCAATTGTACTCCATAGGTACTTAAGCGCATTCTTTGAACGGAGTCAGAGTTCATATAAGACTGGAACATTTGTATGCATTTGAAAATGTCCACAGTCTTCTAAAAGATGTGTCACGGGCTATGGATCCCTCGGCTGTAGACCCCCAGCCCCCCTCGGAACCTCAATTTCCCATCCAAGCCAGCCTAGCGGGGACCAATAGGCGGGCAGCATTTCGGCCACACCCACAACCCGCGCTTTAGCAAGATATGGTTGAAAAAGATGTTTCTCAAACTTGTTCAAAAGATACATTTGTAAATTGTTTTCTGCAATTCTGTGTCTTTGAATAGTTGGAGCAAAATAACTACCGAGCCGAGTTAAACCATTTCGGCACTGGGCTTCTGGTGCTTACGTCGGCCGCACGGCGTACAAAACAGTCATGATCTTAGGCCATGGAGGTAATTTTTTTTTTTACCTCCATGCTTAGGCCAAGTCTTTGTCTGTGAAAATGTAAGAAAAGAGGCCTTGCAGTCCTGTCCTGACGTACCTTCGGCACTGGAGATCTAGGACGGAAGCCGCCTCAGCTCTGTATACCGAGTGCTGAGAAAGGAACCCGTAACTTCGGTACTTGCATTATTTTCACCCCAAATACACCAATTCTTACATTGTTTATCTGACATTTCCAACTCCGATTACCTGCCGCGCCGTACGGAAGGATGCTGTTCAACCCCATTGTCGAATGGAATCGACCGCAAAGTGGGCGTGGCGCGGAATGCTGGTCACCCATTGGTCGCCGCTAGGCTATGTGGATGTAGCCCCCCCCCCCTCCCCACCAGCATATAAGGAAACCCTGACCTGTGACCTGATCACGAGCGTGTGGTGTCCTGCCTGAGGCAGATGATCAGTCTCTACCAGACTAGCTACGCTGGCTATATATAGGAGAGTAATTGCCTGAGGAGTTTGGCGGCCTTGTAGATTTGACTGGCCGCGCAGTTCAGAGGGAAGGAATACTACCTCCCCGCGGCCGGACTCCCTTTGCCCATTTAATTCTCTTTTTTGCCGAGTTCTACGATCCGTATTCCCGTACAAAGGCCTGGTGGAGGCTACAGATGATTTTAAAGTGAAATTACGAAAGTTTGCGTTATGTCTCTCAAAGTACTCGCCATCGTTTTAAATAGGACATATACTAGGCTAGTGGTGATGGCATCGTTGGTTTACATTATTATATACATACATTGTATAAGTGATTGAACGTCCTTGGTTAAAGCGATGGAAAGTCTGAAAACAGAGGTAAAACAAATAAAGATAAATCTCTATATCCCCCAGTCTGTTGTCAGTTCTACTGGCCATGGTTGTCATGGTTACCGGGCACGACCCGACTGAAAGACAACTTCAGGAAGCCGTTGCCATGGCGACTCTACAACTGAGCCGGCCACCAGCAGCAGCAGCGGCCTCTTCCAGCGGTAAGCGGTCTTCTTGAGGGATAGGAGATTGTCTATTTGAATAACTAAAGACCAGTGAAACATTTGTCCTTGAAATGATTAAAACGATATACCAGATGATCTATATGGTGCTGGGAAGACTTGACATGCCCTGGTGTAATGGTGACTTCCCTCCCTTCAGTCTGCAGTCCAGGCTGGTCCAAGTACGGTTCTCGCTGCTTCCGAGTTTTCACCAACCGCGTGACCTACGCGGGTGCCAATGCCGCCTGTCGCTCCAAGGCCCAGGGGGGCCGTTTGGCCATGCCGAAGGACAAGCCCACCAACGACGCCCTCGTTCGGCTGAGGAACGGACAGGTGATAATTTAATTTAATTTAATTTAATTTAATTTAATTTAATTTAATTTAATTTAATTTAATTTAATTTAATTTAATTTAATTTAATTTAATTTAATTTAATTTAATTTAATTTAATTTAATTTAATTTAATTTAATTTAATTTAATTTAATTTAATTTAATTTAATTTATTGATCGATTGATTGCTTGATTTGATTTATTGATCGATTTATTGACAGAGCCAAACTGTCTCGACCTGGATCGGGTTAAACGACATCAGACGCGAAGGTCAGTTCGTCTGGGAAGACCGCCAGGCCCTGGGGTCCTTTCGGGTCTGGGCGGCTGACGAGCCCAACAACCTGCCCAACAGGAACGCAGACTGCGTCAAGATCGAGAAAGCCAGCTCGTCTGGCGTGTATGCGAACAAGTGGAGAGATTATCTCTGTAATGGACGTCTGGGTTACATCTGTGAGAAAGGTAAGGCTGTGTTTCTTTTTGTTGGCTTCTTTTCCAATATTGTACTTGCTTCCAAGTGTGTTTGTAAAGTATGGATGTTTGTGTGTGTGTGCCTGTGTGTTTATCACAGAATCGCATTTTGGAGAGCTGGCTTGATCTCAGGCACCATCTATAGGGAGCGGTGAGGCTTTTCTGCTTAATGCTTTTTAGCGACCTGCCTAGTGTGCTGGAATATTCGTTTATCACGTTGCATCACACTTGCTATGCTTACTTTCACAGAAGGAAAACATACTGTTTTGCTCTGTTTTGTCTTCTTGTTTTAAGAACAAACCATTAAGGTCAGTGGCTTGGATCAGGCAAAACTGGTTCTATAGTAGGCCCCCTGTGGTATTGGGTTACATTATGTGGGAAGTAGCAGGGCAGAGTTGGAGAGACCAAGGATGTCTTTTTTAACCTCCTTGGAGAGACTGATCTCCATACATATGACTATGTTTGAGTATTATATAAGAACAGTTACTGTAGTTTCTTCGGTTAGACAGTGTTAACGTAAACGTTATGCATTTGCTTTGCAAAAAATGTTACCTTCCCCGGTGTAAAGAAAAAAAAAATTGTAGAAAAAAGTGTAAAGGAAAAACAAAAATTGTTACGTTGAAAACGTTTCGATCTCGAATTACTGACAGTCCAAGCTGTGGCAAACAAAAAATGTGACCATGTTTAATCAACGAACGGATTTGCACTGGCCTATTTGAGTAACTACGACCACGTACAGGGTGTGGCTATCATATTAGTTTTTAACTCATGACATGATGGAAGCATAGACTATATGACCTTTTGTAAGAAAGGCCAGTGGGTGAACGTTCACAGGGTTCGAAATACTGGGTGCATGTGCACCTTAATGCACCCAAAATTGGAGCTGTGCACCCAATTATTTTCTTTGTTGTAGTTCTTGTGTAAGATTTTGAACTTAGCTCCCATTTCAGATTCAAGCTTAGAAGAGGAGCATTAATATCTGTAATTATGTTTTGTTTTATATGGTGGACCAAAAAAAATTTTGGTACACCTAATTTTTTAGGTAATAGGTTGGGTGTACCAGTGCACCTATTCCCAAAAATGAATTTCGAGCCCTAAATTCATCTTCTGTCATCTAGGCACCACCCGGACCAGCGTGCCTGTCGGCCGCCCTGCTCGCCCCAGAGGAAGTGGGCGTCATCTCGCAGCCGTGCACCGCTCCACTCTCATGACGACCAAGCTCAGCAAATGTGCCTCCATCTTAGAGAAGGTGGCGAAGAGTCTCATGGCCAGGTGAGTGATAGACGTTTTTCAATGTAACAGTGCAATTTTGTTTCATTAAAAGTTCAAAATCCATTGTTTTAATTATAAACCAGCCTGGTATGTCCACTTCGTGGCTCATATTGTAACATTTCCGGCTAACCAGCTAACCCACGAACCGACCAACCAATCATCCACAACCCAACCTTCCACCTAACCAGCCAATCAATCAATCAATCAATCGATCAACTGATCAATCAATCAATCAACCAACCAACAAATCAACACACAAACACCAAAAAACAGTTACTCAAGCAACTAGATTTGATTTTGGAACAAACAAACAAACAAACCCGTTTTTCATTATAAAGATCACTTATACTAAATAAGTACAGTAGTAGTAGTAGTAGTAGTAGTAGTAGTAAGTAGTAGTAGTAGTAGTAGTAGTAGTAGTAGTAGTATACTAAATGAAAATTGCAAAGTAAGTATGATTTCGTCGCCTATTATAAATCTAATATGAAGCCAATCATTGTTTGCGGTAGAAAAGAATTTCGATTACACTAGATTTGTTCTGCTATACTGAGTCGAAGAATGTAGCTGTTTGAAACTAAACGAAACCTGTTGTTCCAGTCCCGAACATTACAGCCTGGACGTTCTGTCCCGTGTCAACTCTCCTCACATCATCAACATTTGTGCCCGGGTCAGCCCAGTAGTGACAGCGTGTCCTAGAAGAGCCAGCCCAGAGTTCCGTTCGGCAGACGGCCGTTGCAACAACCAGCGTCGCCCCCTGTGGGGAAGCACTGAGCAGTGCCTGAAAAGGCTTCTCCCGCCCGAGTACGACGATGGTATGAGTCTTATTATCACAGTTGTGCGTTTATCACTGGTAACCGAGTACTGAAAGTAGTTAAGCACTGGAAAATGAGAGTTGAGTTAAGGCTCAGCACTGGCATTCCAGTCCTGAAGGAGCTTAAGCACTAGAAAAGTTAAACGCCACTCTGCACAGTGCGCAACATTCTTCAGCACTAGGTATCTAGTACTAACACAATTTTGACCATTGAATCTGCCCTGGAACACCAGTGTATATGGTGTGATTTCCGTAGACTTGCTCTGCCGCGAAATGACCAGCCATTGAATGTTGAAAATGTTTCCTGTTTCTTCTTCTCCAAACAAAAGGTCAATGGTCTGGAGCAGACATCCTGTGGTACTGGATTACATTATGTAACGGTACACATTCGGGGAGCTGGTCACCATATTTATATTTCAGTCCATACCATGGTATGGATGAAATATATTGTGTTCTCTCATGTTTCTTCTCCTTCTCCTTCTCCTGCCAAACAGTCAAAGGGATTCAACTCCGCCATCATTCAGCCAAATGACTTGAAATTGGGCATGGAGGTAGAGTGGATCAATACCCCCAGGCTTTTTTTTTCATTTTTTTGATACATGCCTTTGAAAAATTTTTCTGAAGGTTTTTTGGGGCATTTTTCGCCAAAAAATGGATTTTTGGATCCTGAGCCCTGGTTTTACAACCAAATGATTCGAAATTCGGTATAAGGGTACCTTGAACATGTGTCTACAGAATAGCAGTCGCATATTTGGCATACACCACTTCCAAATGACTCATTTGGGGGACTTTAATGGCTATTTTCAGCAAAACAAGGGCCAAAAGTGCTATACCCGTTCCATGTTCTATCTAAAGAATGGCACGTTCCATCTGCCGTTGGCCATGGAACACGTGTTCCATTGCGGGTTACCTGGGGTCACATTGCACGTAAGTCGGGCGTAATGACCCACACATTCAGTTTTATGTACCTTCAAAATGTATCAAATCTCATCATTGTTAGTATTTGCATACCTGTAATAAGATTAGTAAAGCTTTCGAGATGTTCTCAATTGCATAGCTACTATATAATTCATTTATTTGAGAATCTTTGCCAGTTTTACACTGGGGTAAGTTTGGAATAGTCCACTTTTGCGTGGGAGGGAGATGGACTGAAATGTGCTGTATTTGCTCCCAAGCAAATGTCGGCCTCTCTAGTTGTATCTGTATCTTCATATGCATGTGTATAACTGCATTTGTTAGGCGAGACCATGTGAAGGTAAACATTATGCATTAGCTTTGAAAATTTTACATTTCTAGTTCCATTTGTGCCCGTAGGTTTTATGTCGCCACGCACGATCGGCCGAAACCGTGCTCGACTCCCCACCGCCCGACGGGTCAGCACGGTCATGCACGAGGACCTGCGGAAATCCAGCCAGGTTAACACTCACATGGTCATGCAGTTCGGACAGTTCCTGGACCACGACTTCACTCTTACACCTAGCTTCCAGGAAGAAGGTTGATTAATCATAAGCAATAACGTGGCTCTAAGAATTCTAAAATATTTTTTAAAAAAATATTTGCATACCCACTGGTAGCAGAGGGCCAGTATGATATAAAAAGACAGGAAACGTTGCAAACGTTAAAAACGTTACAAAATGTTTCAAGAACTAACCATGAACATATTGTGTGTATATGGCTCATTCACGATTCGCACAAATAGCCCGGCTGGACCCCGGTTTGGAAATCCGACATTACCTGGTTATACTAGTGATTGTCTTATGATTTACTCTTCCTCAGGTCTCGACTGTGACTGTGACTCTATGGACGAACGCTGTTTCAACATCAACATCCCCTCTGATGATCGTGACTTCGCAGGCAGGCGCTGCCTGGGATTCGCTCGCTCCCGATCCTGTCCGAACGAAGGGTGCCGCATGGGCCGCCGGCAGCAGCTGAACCAGATCACCGCCTTCGTGGACGCCTCCAACGTCTACGGCTCCTCGGACAAAGAGATACAAGAGCTCAGGGGGAGGAGCCAACGCGATGGTAGATAGAAGCATATTTTAGTGCTGTTTTTCTTTACAGCTTTTCTCGTTGTTTCGATAAAACTTAAATCAACAATGTCCTTCTCTCCTAGGAACGCGCGGCCAGCTGAAGTCCAGACTGAACCCTGCAAAGGCTGACAAGAAGGAACTCCTGCCCGGCGCCTTCACGGAGGGATTTGAGTGTGACGAATTTACCGGGTCCGAGACGTGCTCGCAGGCTGGGGACGTCCGTGTGAACGAGCAGCCGGGACTGACCTCCATGCACACCGTCTTCCTGCGGGAACACAACAGGATCGCCAGGCGGCTGTCCCAAATCAACCCGCGCTGGAGCGACGATCGGGTGTTCTTCGAGACCAGGAAGATCGTCGGCGCGCTGATGCAGAAGATCACGTACGGGGAATTTCTTCCTCGCGTTCTCGGACCGACAACCATGACTACTTATCGCTTACGGCTCCTCCGAAGCGGCTTCTATGGAGGGTACGACTCGAGGGTGAACCCCACCATCTCTAACGTCTTCGCCACGGCAGCCTTCAGATTCGGCCACAGTCTAGTTCAGAACCTTCTCCTCCGCTATTCTTCTGACTTCAACGAGGCCAGCGCATGCCCGATTCGTCTGGCCTTTTCTTTCTTCAATCCATCCCACATCTTCAACAACGACCAGGGTGGCCCGGACTCCATCCTACGGGGACTGACCGCCCAGCCCCATCAGGACTTCGACCGGTTCATGGTCTCGGGCCTGACGAAAGACCTGTTTGCGGATCCTCCCGGGTCAGGTCGCGGCCTGGACCTGGCGGCACTGAACATTCAGCGGGGCAGAGACCACGGGCTACCCGGCTACAACGCCTGGAGGGTGAAGGTTGGCCTCCGCAGAGCGAGGAGCTTTGCCGACCTGGCGAGGGAGATCCCTGATGTCAACACGCGGCAGAAACTGGAGAGTGTGTACAGGTAAGATATTTAACTTCGCAACACCATTCCTTTGGGTGAAAGACAGAAAAACTCCTAATAAAAAGACTGGAGCATTCGCCAGTCCTTTAACGTGATAAACTTACCACGTGTTTGTTTAGTTATGTGAATGTCTTTATTTCAGGTATTTCATCCATAGAAAACAACGGTACAAACATAGAAACACAAACTATACATACAGCACATTATATACTATATATAAGTTGCATCCTGCTCGTAGGAACAACTTCCCTTGTTTACCTTGGAGCTTCTGTATGGTATTTCGTAGTCCTTCAAGAAGAAACGATATGAGATGAACGTGTTGCTTACCGTTTTCAGCCACGTGGACGACATTGACCTGTTCGTGGGGGGTCTTGCTGAGGAGTCCATGCCGGGCGGTGTCGTCGGTCCAACCTTCGCCTGTCTGCTCGCCATGCAGTTCCAGGACCTCCGCAAGGGGGACCGCCTCTGGTTCGAGAACCGTGGACAGTTTACAGCAGGTCTGTGGACATCTCGTTAGGAAGTCTACCACTCTTTATGATCTCTTATCTATCCCTTAATCTGATTATATGACAACTGGGCACCACAGAAAGTCTGACAACCAGTTTCCCCTCCTTCTCTATTTTTCTTTTCTACTTTTACGTAGTTCCCGATGTTTTGCTGAGAGGAAGCTAACCACCATATTTTTTGTTCACTTCACGTTACAGGAAGACCTTTGCCAGAGAGAGGCCTTGTGTAGGTGGATTTATCTCAGGATGATGATTATTTTCGTTTACCTTAGACCGGTGCAAAAGCTCAATTTATAGAGTGCTCGCTTTGTAACTGGGAGGTCGTGAGTTCAAGCCCCGGCCGGGTCATACCAAAGACTTTAAAAATGGTACACACTTCTGTTTCTGCATAGCACACAGCACATATGAGAAAGAGTGTGGAAAGGTCAAACACACAGCACTACCAGCGGACTAGCCCTTTGCTGTAGTGCATTGCACAACTGTGTGTCGCCCAAGGGCTACAAAAATGGATATGGTCACCACCCTACGCTCTGCATAAGGGCACGAGAGACCTTTATTTTCTTTCTTTCTTTTATCCAGCCCAACTCGCTGAGATCAGAAAGAGGTGGATCTGGTGGCCTATGCGACTTTGAATGTCTTGTGTAAGTGGATGTATTTCAGGATGATGACAGTCATTTTCTGTTCACCTTTTTCTCCAGCCCAAATTGCTGAGATCAGGAAGACCAGTCTGGCCCGGATCCTGTGCGACAACACGGACGGCACCACACACATGCAGCCGGACGTCTTCAGGCTGCCCACACAGCCTGGGAACGAGAGGGTGAGGTGCTCCTCTCTGTCCCGGATGGACCTGACCAAGTGGCGAGTGTAGGGGGATTCTCGTGTAGACTAGCCGGTTCGCTCTCCTACCAGGTTTCTTCCGTAAACCCACTTTCACCACAATAATTTCTCTGATGCATTTGCTAACATCAGAAGTTGACTGAGACAAAAGCTACACATTTAGCTTAAACTTGTCTTGACTTACGTCGATGAAGGTTAGACATCCAGGTAATACGATACGCCAAAAAGCAGTTACTCAAGCAACTGGATATGATTTTGAAAACGTCAGACGTTTCAGCTAGTATCCACTTGCTTTCGTCAGTGACTGAGAGACCAGAGGGGAAAGCAGGTTTATAAGCACAACATATTGATTGATATGCAAATAAAGTGAAGACAAATTTTTGGAAGTCGAAAAAGGAACAAAAGTCAGACAAGTCAAGACAACATGATGCAAATTAGTCTGAAAGCTCCTGTTATACAGAACGACCCGTATAAAGATCGACCCGTAGCCCCCCTTCCCTGTTGAGGGTGGGGTTGTACATTCTTTCATTCTTTCAAAACTTCAACATAGCCACTAACTTCAAACCTCACTCAACCCTCAGACAAAGACTGGTACACCCTAAGGACCGACCTCACAAAGGTACCAAGGCGAATGTCATTTACAGACCCAAATGTGAGGAGCCCAATTGTAACAACACCTACATCGGATAGACAAGTCGACCGCTCAAAGTAAGATACAAAGAACATTGCCGACCTAGTGCCAACGGCTACTCCTCAGCTATTTTCCACCACCTACAACACAACCAGGGTCACTCTTTCAAACTCGAGTCCACGGATATCTTAGACCGCGAAACACGCTGGTGGGAACGGGGTGTTAAAGAGGCAATATATGAAAGAATGTACAACCCCACCCTCAATAGGGAAGGGGGGCTACGGGTCGATCTTTCCGGCACTTGGATTTGACACTCCCAGCCCCGAGGACAGACAACACTTAAGCTCCTGTTCTGTATAACAGGAGCTTTCAGACTAATTTGCATCATCTTGTCTTGACTTGTCTGACTTTTGTTCCTTTTTCGACTTCCAAAAATTTGTCTTCACTTTATTTGCATATCAATCAATAGGTTGTGCTTATAAACCTGCTTTCCCCTCTGGTCTCTCAGTCACTGACGAAAGCTAGTGGATACTAGCTGAAACGTCTGACGTTTTCAAAATCATATCCAGTTGCTTGAGTAACTGCTTTTTGGCTTGTCTTGACTTGTCTATCTTTTGTTCCCTGCATTTCTGCTCAAGTTATCCAGTGTCACTGACAGAAGGTAGTGGATGCTACCTGAAACGTCTGACCGTTTCCAAATCATATCCAATTACTTGAGTCACTGTTACTGGTGTAAGCTTATTACCTGTATGTCTAACCTTCAACGACGTACAAAATACACACACACACAAACACACACACACACACACACACACACACACACACACACACACACACAAATCCCTCTATCATAAACCTGTTACTAGTACAAAACCCTTGACGTCTGAACCGGTTGGTCGCACTGGGAAACCATTCAAACGCCTGCACGCTGTTAGGGTAGCAGATGGCTAAATCACAGGACCCTTTAGCCCACACCAATTTAATTTCTTGGTTAACGGATTCGCCCGCTTCATTTCTTCCTGATTTGCAAAAAAAAAAAAAAAATTCAGAATCAACTGCAAAATGCTCATATTTTGCCCTGAACAGTTGAAAAGTCCTTTTCTTCCTAGTTGTTACAGTTATTCCATCTTCCAATGCAGTGGTATCATTAAAAATTCAAAATTCATTGTTTAAATTTTGAACCAGCCTGGTGTGTTGACTTCATGGCTCCTATCGTACCATTTTAGGCCATAATAGTAAATCAAAAGGATGCCTAGGCCTGTTTTTATTTTTTTCGCCTGCCCGCTCCATTATTTTTCTTAAAAAAACCCCGTTAACCAAGAAATTAAATTGGTGTTGCCTTAGCCTTCGGAATTTGGATTTTGGAGTCTTTTTTTAGATCTTTAATTCTTATCAAATTTCTCTATAAAGTAGTTATTCTATGATAGAAAACCGATTTTTCCAAATGACATGAACTGTGCAAGTCATAACAAGCTGACATGTAGGGCTTTGCATATATCGACATTGCAATATTAAAATGACTTTGCAAATTCAAAATAATTATAATTTAACCTTATTCAATGTAATATGTAGCATATGCATGGCTATTCGTTTACATAGTAGTAGAATATTCAGAAACGAAACCTATAGCTTGCCCGAGTGCATGATTACATTATACCAAGAAGGTTAACATTTAACCTTGGTCATTCGGCTTATGAAGTATTGCAAACTCAAATAGCTTTAACTTGTTAATAAGTAAGTGGTGTTTTATAAGAGGTAGATCGTTATACTACGAGTTGTAGTGTTATAAAAAGTACATATCAAAGTAAGTTTGGGGACACAACGAAGATGCTTTGACTTGCAAACGTTTATCGCAAACTTACCATCTGCCTTTATCAGGGCCAGATGAACCACGCCAACATTTGCCACAAAGTTGTCTAGAATGTCAAAATATGTAACCTAGTACTTCACATTTACCTTACTTGTTGAATAAACTATGGTGTATTGATTGAATGAGATTAGCAGTGTTTATTTGGCCTGTTCTGAACTCCTCACTCTCTTTCTTGCTGATGAAAGCATAACTTTGGCGAAGGTAAAAAATCAAGGAGAAAAAAAGATTTTCTGTTGTATCTCAACGTTACCATGGTTGGTTGGTTAGTTGCTTTATTGGTTGTTTGTTTGTTTGTTTGTTTGTTTGTTTGGTTGGTTGGTTGAATGAAGCATATGGAAACAACAGAAGACACCGCACAAGCTTTTTATAAGTTTATCTTTAATCACCATGCACAAAACCCATTTATTGTCATACAGGCATTTCAAAACATTTAAGTATCTATGATTAAAGAACAATTATATATAATGATATTGTAAGAATTATGCATGCCTTCGCGTAAAAAAGGAAAACAGGTGGTTAACCTGAAATAATAGATAACCTTTAGTACAAGGAAGGATTAAAACTAATACATACGACAAAAGTTCTGTAAGCGTAGAAACGTTCCGACGGCATTGCATCAGATTGAACCTAATTTATTATTCAGAGCTTTAGATAATGAAATTCTGTTATAATCATAGATCAATGTTGCATTTTGATTAGATATTTTTTGACGAGCTTGTTGATAATATTTTAACGATAACCAGGTGCGCATTCTGCACAATTAAAAATCCTACACAAGCAAAACAAAGAAGATTGTACTGAAAATAACAGTACAGGTCAAGTGCGAAATTAAGTCTCTAAAAGCAAGCATAAACCTTGTGTATACATGTAACTGGCTGAAGAATAGCTCTGTTACTTGAGCTTGTTATGATTAGTAGGGGTAATTTCCAGCGCATTTATCTTTCTTAAAAACTGAAGCACATATGTTATTTCTAATTTATTTTTATTGCAATTCAGTTAGACATGCATTCAACTAATGAAGAAATTGTAAACAAGAACAGATACAAACTTAAACCCTGGATCCAATGATAAATGGTATATACTGGATATGAAACATAGGCTAATGCAACGATACAAATAAATTCAAACTTTTGAGAGAAAAGAAATAGAACAAAAATGGCAAATCAATTAACTAGAACAATCTCGACTAAAGTACAGACTGCAGTTAACTAAAACATTTATACAAAATGATCTAAACCAAATAAGGCATACAAAAACCTAAACAAAACAATCATTACTTGTTTCCCTATTCGTATTCACGTTACTGAATTTATTGTTTTGACATTTGAACGTTATGACGACATTGATTTATAAACATACCTTTGTTTTGACGCACCGGGTTTTATTTGAGTGTTGTCCACCTTTTGTTGCTTGACTAAATGTAATCGTGTCTTGTCCTGTATAACGGTATGGAAAGCAGCTTCTTCTAGCTGAATATGATACCGAGCAATTTTATGATGAAATAGATAAATATCGGCAAAAGCTGTCAAGGTTGCTTCTGTAGCAGAGACGATTCCTTCTTCCTTCGCCACAGCTCCTCCTTCCTTCACTCTAGTTCCTCATTCCTTCGCCCAAGCTCCTCCTTCCTTTGCCTCATGGCCCAGTTCCTCCCTCCTTCGCCCCAGTTCCTCCTTTCTTCACCCCAGCTCCTCCTTCCTTCGCCCTATTTCCTCCTTCCTTCGCCTTAGCTCCTCCTTCCTTCGCCTCAGTTCCTCCTTCCTTCGCCCCAGTCCCTCCTTCCTTCGCCTCAGTTCCTCCTTCCATCGCCTCAGTTTGCTGGCTGCCATTAGAGGTGGTTGCTTCATTGTCCTGACGAGGTTCAGTCAGATGCAGGCTTGCCCTGTTTCCCTCTACATCGGCCAAAGTTGACATGGGTATTTCTACAGCAGAGCCTGCCTCGGTTGCCCTTATGGTAGTCTGATGGGTGCCAGCAGTAGCGGTTGCCAAGTTGTCCTGATTAGGCTCACCGAGCCCGAAGCGTGCCTCGATCGCAGACTTCCATTTCTCCACCACCTCCCATGTTAGGGTCATCACCACAGTCAGCAGAAGGCCCTGGGAGGCATTCAGCACGATGAAAACGTACTCGACAGCCCTGTTGTTGACAAACGGATAGATGAAGCCGAGAATCCACGTCACCCCCGAGAGGAAGGAGATACGCATGTAGACCCAGGCCTTGCTGATGTCTGATCGCGACTTTGCCTTGTCGGCGATCTGAAATGACTTCCGTATGGCCAGCAAGGCAAACGTGACCAGGAATACATTGAGCAGAAGGGCGCAGAGGACAGGAACTCCAAAAGCCACCAGACTGGCTGTTGGATTGCCGATCCAGCAGCTTTCTCCGTACCCCACCCAGACAGAACTGCCGAACTCCACAATCACTGTGGCAACGACTACGGGTACCGGCGCCAGCCAGGTAAACAGGACGTACTTGTGCAGTTTCGCTCTGTCTAAGTCATCACGAAACGTGAGGAAGAGATCCATGGATAACGCGTTCATGGATGTGAAGGCCGTCAGCAGAAGGTAGTGCAGGAGAACTGCATAAGCTGTACATCCCGGTCCAGAAGGGACCACAACGCGTAACACAAACAGGACTTCGGCAGCCACCGTGCATGTCGTCATCTGAACTTTCAGCTTTTGGGGGACTTTCTTCCACTGTCCAGACTGGACGGTGTGGACAACGAAACCCAACACGGCCACGCCAGACACTGTCACAAGACTCAGGGTTACCCAACCCTGGTTAGCCTCCCAACTGTTGACTGTCTGCCCTCCGTGCGTGTGGTTTGAGAAGTGCTGAAGTACGCACTCCCCGCAGATTGACGCTGTTGTGTTCAGAATGGCTACATGCTCAGCCGGGCATGACACGTTAGAACTCAACAGGTGGACACTACCATTGGGAAGGACTCGGAACTCTTCTGATGTGAAATTCAGAGCGGGCTCGCTGCAGTTTTGAAAGGGAATGGTTTTGTTTGATGAGCCATGACGTCTGCTAACGGAAGAAGAATGCCGGCATATGTCTACAAAGGGATCGTAGACAGTGTCGGATGGACACGGATTTGTTTCACCGTTCTCACCGGCATTAAAGTTGAAAAGACGAGTTAGCGAGGTTTGGTGGGGACAATCACCAGTGTCCCAGCAACTTGTCCCAATAGTTCCGAAGACAAACCACGGAATGCTAGCGGCGCCACACCTTAGATTAGTGGTTGCGGCCAGGGAAAGTCCCTCACAAAGCGCACAGTGTAGGTTTCTGTAGATCTTATATCTACTGGCAACTGGATAGGTATAGGACATGCAGGCGTCGCAATTTGCATTGGAAAAATCTGCCTCAGTCAGAAGACACGATCTCTCGGTCTTATCGGAAAGATGGAATACTAGCCTGTCTGTACCGAGGCACCCCAACTGTTCTTCATATTCAACGCCAAGACTACTGAGAATATTGCTGTAATTTTGTGTAGGGGCTTGTGCAAAAGAACTAAGCTGTCCATAGCACATGAGTATAGAGTTGAAAACAGATACGTTTGTCATTGTTACATCGTTACAAAGAGCACAGAATATGTTTCTGTAGGGGATTTCCGTCGAAACGTCTTTTACGGGCATCCTGTAAACCACGTCACTGGGGAGGAGGGGTCCACTTGTTTCAAACACTGATCCCTGGTGAAGGCGTCCGCCCATTGGTCAGGGCAGTCAGCAACGAGCCAAAAGGACGGTTTGGTGATGAAGCCAGGTACACACCTCCACAGATGGCGGTCATCACGTGTGGGTTGAGCTAGGCTGCTTTCTCTATGGCGGGTGTAATGAAGTCCTCATAAGTCGCATGATTCTAGTTAGGCCACACCGAATCGATTTTATGGATGACATCCTCTGAAGATCCCCAAACTAGTGCTCGCGGGCGAATAAAAAAATCCCGGCCAAAATAAAAATGCTACTTAACCACAAGAATACAAAGTTGGTATTGTAAATTTGCGTCAGTACATAGCGACGTATACGGCAAGCCGGCACATGCTGGCTTTTTGTGATTTATGATTTAGTTTATGATTCGGCACTGTACGTATGTACCGAGATCTTGAGTCGTGGAACTTCGGTAGCCTGGGTGCCGTGCTCCAGTTACCGCCGGCTCCCTATTGTCGCTAACTACCATGGACTACCCAGGCCTAGAGCCAGGCCAGAATCTCGGAGGAAACGGTCTTTTTTTCTTCTGAGGACAGGCAAAAACCAATGCACGCGTGGATGTCATCCACAAATTTAAGTCGGTGTGGCCTTATATAGGCCTAGGAAAAAATGTTGTGTTTGCTGTTTCCCGACCGACCCTAGAAAAAACTTCCAACCCCAGCCCTTTTTGTGTGGACCCATGCAAGGCACATGCTTTTTCTTGCTCTATGATTTGATACTTGAGTGATGAAATGTTGTACAAACATTTTTTTAACATTGACAATATAACTTTATTAAGTGTTCTCTATGTGCTAGCATGCAAGATTTACTCTGTTAAACTGTATTGGAGATACAAGATGACTTTATTCGCAATTGGCAGTGTTAATGACACTGAATTAAAAACGAATTTACATATACTAAAAAGACCTCAGTTAGATAAAAATAGTTGCAGTAGCTAAAATATTGACGTTTTAAAATAGACGTAGTTGAATAATATAGGTGGCTATAGATATTTACAAGCAATACAAGGTAAGATTTCGTGTCAGACAAAGGTATAAAAGACAGGTATTGACTCTTTTCTGCACCCTTTCTAGCTGGTCCACTGCACCCTTTCTAGCTAGTATTGTGTATGTTAAATTGGGTCACGGAACAGGAAACACAACATTTTTCCTAAGCCTTAAGGTAAACTATAATCCAATGCAAGTTGCCTATGAAATTACACATAATCCATACTTCCGAATTGGTGATTTGTCATTACTTACGGGACGTCTTCACAGCAGTCTCCGAAAAAGCTGCAGTCGTGGTCACAAGAACAAAGCCTCCATCGTGTCATTGCCCACTGGCTGTTACAGGTGTATTCTCCCTCGCACTCTTGTCCGATGAAGTCCAGGGAGGTGGGGTCTAATGCAGGGGAAAAGTTCCAATGGCTGCACACATTTGAACCCTATACAGACTGTGTGTGTGTGTGTGCGTGTGTGTGTGTGTGTGTGTGTGTGTGTGATTTTGAGGCCCATGCCAACCCAATCTGAGATGGTGCCTAAACGGCTTACGCTAAAAACACATCAAA